TGAGACACCAGCTGATCAAATCCATAGGTGATAAGATAAGATAAGATAGATAAGATAAGAGCTTTATTGATCTCACAGTGGAGAAATTCACTGGTCACACATCGGTTAGGGTTCAAAAGGCGGAAAAGGTGCATAAAGTACAGCAAAAGCAAGCAAATATACAAGGAAGCAACACAGCGTAGAGATTTGGGTGATTAAAATATATACAATTATTGATGGCTCACACACAGTACACATATTACACAGGTCAATAAATATAACACAATTGCACAGCAGTTGTTAAAGTGCAGAGTTGTACAGTCTGGTAGCAGCAGGGATGAAAGACCTGCGGTATCGCTCTTTTTTGCACACAGGGTGTCTGAGTCTTTTACTAAAAGAGCTGCTCAGCTCCTCTACAGTCCGATGCAAGGGGTGAGAGGTGTTGTCCATGATGGATCTCAGTTTGGACAACACTCTCCTCTCAGCCACTTCCTCCACTGAGTCCAGAGGGCAGCCCAGGACAGAAGTGGCCTTCCTCACCAGCTTATTCAGCCTCTTCCTGTCCCGCTCTGTGCTGCCAGGGGCCCAGCAGACGACAGCGTAGAGGAGGGCTGAGGCCACTATAGAGTCGTAAAAGCTTTGAAGGAGGGGCCTGCTGACTCCAAAGGCCCTCAGCCTCCTCAGGAGGTGAAGGCGGCTCTGGCCCTTTTTATACAGGGCGTCAGTGTTGTGAGTCCAGTCCAGTTTGTTGTTCACGTGAACACCCAGGTATTTGAAACTTTGTACAGTTTCTATGTCCTGCCCCTGGATGTTCACTGGGGGGTGGAGTGGTGGTCTTCTCCTAAAGTCGATCACCATCTCTTTGGTCTTATTGGTGTTCAGACACAGATGGTTTTTCGAACACCAATTCACAAAGTCCATGATGACCGACCGGTACTCCAGCTCGTTCCCCTCAGACACACAGCCCACAATCGCCGAGTCATCGGAGAACTTCTGGAGGTGACAGCTGTCTGTGTTGTAGGTGAAGTCTGAGGTGTAGATGGTAAACAGAAACCGAGACAGGACTGTGCCCTGGGGGGCCCCTGTACTGCAGAGTACCACCTCTGACTGGCAGCTATGCAGCCGCACGTGCTGAGGACGGTCAGTGAGGTAGTCAATGGTCCAGTCAACCAGATGTTTGTCCAGCTTCCCCCTCAGCAGCACCGGTCTGATGGTGTTGAAAGCGCTCGAGAAGTCAAAGAATATGACTCTCACAGTGGTCCCGGTGGTCTCCAGGTGGGTGAGCGCTCGCTGCAGCAGGTAGATGATGGCATCCTCTACTCCGATGTTGGGCCGGTAGGCAAACTGCAGCGGGTCCAAGGTGGTGCTCACCACGGTCCGATGTTAGGTTTTAGGAAGTCAGAAAGAGGCTCTCGCATGTGACATGATGAAGTTGACAAGCAAGCAAAAAAGGGCAGTGGAGGGAGCAGAAAGAAACCATTTCTGCATCAGAGAGCCAGAAGAAGAAGAAGAAGAAGAAGAAGGGGAGGAATGCAGAAAGGCTCCCAGATTCAACAGGACAAAGACAGCAGGTCCTGAATTCAGAGGGAATCTACAGCCAGAGGCAGCGTCAGCAGGCTGAGTCTGTCTGAGCCTCCAGCTGGTCCTAGACGGTGATCACATCCGATCCATCCTCAGGTCCAGAAGAACCGGAACCGTTTCCCACCTGGAGGAGGAGAATCAGTCAAGTTTCAGCAGCATGGAGCTTTTTCTGCTCATGAAAGCAGCGTCTGAGCAGCATCTCAGGCTTGTTAGTCAGCTAAGAGAGCTGTTGGTGAGTCCTGGCTACAGGGGCCTCCAGCAGACGGGCTCAACAGGGAAAACACCCACCTTACTCATGTCAGACATCTGAATTTGCTCATATTGGACTTCGTTGTTGCGTCCCACTGAGTCTGAAAAACAGGCAAAGTCTGAGGTGACTTTCTGCTTCATGAGACAGAAAAAAAACAAGCACATGCTGACAGAGATTCTTTGGGGAAAAGCCCCAGAACAAAAACTACACTGGTCTAAAACAGAAACAACATGATGTCTGTCAACAAAGTAAAAAAATCAATTATGCATTTCTGGGAATGAACAGACCAAATACCTGCTTGTGTTTGTCCGTTTGTCCTCTTTTTGTTACAACACTGTCTCTTAAACCATCCAGAGACCAGAACAGCTACCCGAACCACAGCAAAAATTACAGCTGTAATGATGGGCCAGTAACCTCCATCTATCCATCCATTTTCCACCGCTGTGAAACAGAACAAAACACAGCAAGGAATGAGACCCAAAACCCATTTTAAATTAAATAGGACATGTGTTCATGACCCTCACAGACTTACTCAGTCCCATTGTACCACCTTGTGGCCAGAGTGTGTAACTACAAACTAAATACATGCAATTCCCATGGAGCTTCTGTCTGTTTTAAAGCTACACAAATATCCAAGTGTGACAAAAAAAACATAAAGGAGCTGACAAACATTCAAGGTCAGGAGTTAAATCAATCTGACGGTGTCTTTTCTCACCGTTTTTTGTCTGGTTCAGAGCACATGATGTGGTCACAGTCTTATTCTTTGCAGGGCTGGTCACCTTAGGGGTGGGAACAGGGTCTGGAGGGGAAATGGAGGGAGAACAGAGATGGTTGGAGGCAGAACGGACAGAAAGAACAGAGGTTTAAAGCAGAGAGAGCTGCAGCAAACACGTCCTGATGCTGGATTTGGCAAACGTCTGAGGATGATCACGAAGCCCCATCTGCTCC